CCCCCGGTCCTGGGATCAGCGCCTTTGGCATAGGAACGGCCGATGGGCGTGGGAGGGCCAGGCCCTCCCCGCTCCTGCACGGAGCCCGTTCTGAGTGGTGCTCGCGAGGAAGGTCTGGTACCCGACTCCCCGCTGGCGTGGCCAGCTGGCGCGGCAAGTGCGTTTACTTTTGTGCGTCTCTGCTCGTCTGGGGCTCACGCCGCCGTCCACCAAAGCGCGTAGTAAGCTCACGGCACGTTGGCCGGTGACGTGGGGCAGGTTAGTCACGGGTGCCTGGTGTGTGTGTACAGAAGAGAGTCACGCTGATGAGTGACAGTATTTTATAGAGATGTGATGAAAATTTATAAATTTCATAGACTTGACTTCATTTATTTTTAGATTGTATAACGCACAGTAAACTAAAAAAGAAAAAAGTGAGGGGGGAAACCTTTCTATTTATTCAAGTGCACACAGTGGCAGGGGCCCAGGGCCGGCCCTCAGCCCCGGACTCTGCGTCACCGCGGCTCCTGGGGCAGAGCGGACAGGCCCCGCGTCCCGCCCGTGTCTCTCTGGCCAGTTGGCATTGCTGCTCCCGGTCTCAGCCGGCCCCTACCCCGGAGCAGCCTTGATGGTGCTTGGGAATGAATGCACTGGGGGGACAGGCGACCAGGGAAAAGTCAGGAGAGTCGTTTTAGGTGTTTCCAGAGGTCACCAGCAAGGTCCAGCATAGCAGTCTGTGACTGGTCCCGGGTCCCCCAGCTGACCAGTGCTGTGTCTCTCCACAGTCTTCAGAAGGGTGCCCCCCCCCCCGAAGCCTTCCATCCCCTGAAAGGACCAACGTCAGCCAAGGTCCTGGGAGGGGACCCGAACCCCAAGACGGGGGAGGGGTCAGAGCCCTGTCCTCAGGTGCTTGCACCCACCAAGGAACACAGGCAGCTTGCCTCTTTCTGAAGGTGGGCTGTGCGTAGGGTCTAACCTGTTGCTCAAGTAAAGGCCTTGAGCTCCTGCCTCGTCTGGTCTGGCCAGCAAGGCTGCCTCCCTCCAAGTGTGGATGCCAGGAGTCCTCTGCCTACCTGGGAGGGTCGGTGTGGTGGGCCGAGGCCAGGCCCCACTTCCTCCTCACCCCTAGGGGCGGGGCTGGAGGATGGTTTTCTGCCTCCCGCCACCTCAAGATGGCGGACCGGTCTACGCAGGGCAGGTCTGGCCACTGGCTCAGCTTTGGAAGTTGGCCGGACCTCTGGTTTCCACCAGCCAGACCCTCCCTGCAAGAGCCCTGCTTTCCTGCTTGCTCTGGGGGTGATGTCGCTAGTCCAGACCAATAGTTGAGGCAGAAGATGGTGCTCGTGATGGGTTCTTGAAATTGGCTCATCCTCCTGTAACTGGTGGTCATGGCTCCCTCCCTCTGGGCCGGTGCTCCCCGGCGTGTGAAGGTGCTGTGCCTCGCCCCTGTGAACCCCAAGCCCTGGCCTCCTGGACAAGGCGGTGTCTGCTCGGCCTCTCTGAGAGGGTGCCCTCCCACCCCGTGTCAGGAGCCCAGGGCTCCCTAAAAACTACAGGGTGCGCAGCGGAGAGGTCACGGCACAAGTCCCTGGTCTAGAACAGGGCAACCCTGTACACAAACACTGCATCGCTTCGGGGGGGTCCCCAGCGACGTGCCATACGCACCCTCCCGATAGAAACGGCGCACACACACGAGCGTCGGTGTGCAATCTCAGCGGCCCCGCTGTCCCTGGCGGGTTAGGCTAGGGAGTCTCCTTCCTGAGCCCCTCGGCCCTCCTGACCGCGGGACCAGTCCCCCCCGCCGCCAACAGCAAGGCCGGCTGTGGGAGGGAAGGCAGCGCAGCGGTGGTGCGCAAGGCCCCGGTGCCGCCGCTGACTGCGGGCACCTTCAGGGAAGTCCGGTGGG